TGATGATTAACAAGGTTTGACCCGTGTATGGAACTTTTCCCACAGCCCAAGCTCTTATGGGGTCTCTCTCCTGTCCAGAAACTTATGGGGTCTCTGATGTTTAACAAGGTGTGGGAGAGGAACTGTGTATGTGTAGGGGAGAAGCCCCAGGTGCACGCTACCAACCCAAGGAGGATAGTGGGGACATTGGCTACCTCAGTAATTACTGTGGTGGCTGTAAATCAACCTAATATTGATCGACTTAGGTTTGGTGTATGGACGTACCGCCATAAGCAAAAGGATTTCTCTCACCCAAAAGCATTCAGGAGCCCGAACTCACTGGAAAGCCCTCCAGCCAAGACCACTCCCCTGAGTTCAGTGATGCACTTTCAAGGTATCTTGCTGCCATGAATTGAAATAGGGGAGGGGAGATGGCCAGAGGGATTTTTTCCTCCTTCTCATACTCCGACCCTTTATACTGGAAAAGTCTTTGCTGGGTCTTGGGGTCAGGCAACTCCATGGCGTACGTGAGCTCCAAAAGTGTCCTACAGATGAATTGTAAATTTCCCCTTTCTTCCTATTGGTGGACGGCCAGATAAAAGACTGGTGTTCTTTGAGATGTGTTGCTCATGTCTATTCCACAGTAGGTGAGCGCGCTCGCCATGTGCACCAGTGCTGAAAGTTTTTCCCCTAGCAGTACCCGTGGGGGTGGGGAGCACCCCCCGCGAACCTTGGAGTGGTGCCTGCCTGGCACGGTATAAGGGGAGCTGCCCATTCCCCCCACCCTTAGTTCCTTCTTGCCAAACAACTCTGGCAGAGGGGAAGGAGGGCAGGATGTGGAATGGACATGAGCAACACATCTCGAAGAACACCAATTATGAAAAGGTAACTGTCTTTTCTTTTTTTGAGTGATTGCTCATGTGTATTCCACAGTAGGTGATTCCAAGCTATATCTGCTGGAGGTGGTTAGGAGTTCACAAGTTCTCAGGACGGAGTACCGTCCTGCCGAACCCGGCATCATCCCTGGTTTGGGAGACTATCGCATAGTGCGAGGTGAACGTGTGAACTGAAGACCACGTGGCGGCCCTACAAATGTCCTGTATAGGGACATGGGCCATGAAGGCAGCCGATGAGGCCTGCGCCATCGTCGAGTGTGCCCTCACAATGGGCAGCGGGGGGACACCCGTCAGCTCATAATAGGAGAGGATGCACGAGGTGATCCAGTTGGAAAGCCGCTGAGTGGAAATCGGCTGGCCTCTTGCGTGCTCAGCCGAGGCGACAAACAGTTGAGGACTTTCTGAACAGCTTGATTCGCATGAGGTAGAAAGCCAGAGCCCGCCTCACATCGAGCGTGTGGAGACGGTGTGCATCACTAGTCACGTGGGCTTGGGGCAGACGACTGGTAGAAAAATGTGGTAGGTGGAAACCACCTTCAGGAGGAACGTGGGGTGTGGGCGGAGCTGGACCTTGTCCTTATGTCCGTATACAGCGGCTCGGAGGTCAGGGCCCTGAGCTCCGAGACCCACCTGGCCAATGTGATAGCAACCAGGAAGGCCACCTTCCACGAGAGGTGAGACCAGGAACACGTGGCTAGCGGTTCAAACAGGGGCTTCGTAAGACGAGTCAGCACCACATTCAGGTCCCATTGCGGGACCAGGGGCTTAGAATATGGATAAAGACAGTCCAAACCCTTAAGAAACCGGCCAGTCATACCATGGGAGAACACAGTGTCCATCACACAGAGGATGGAAGGCCGATAGGTGCACCCTGACTGACGAGGGCGCCAGGCCCTGGGCCCTCAGGCGGAGGAGGTAATCAAGGATAAGCTGGATCGGGGCGGCCATTGGGGACACACCTTGGTCCGTTGTCCACCCAGAAAACCGAGACCACTTTGTAGGAGTGACGCCCTTCCCTAGGCCCCCCCGAAGGAGAACCAAGGCATTGCCGGTTCTGCCGGGTCGTGAACAGGTCCACCTGGGGACTTCTCCACCTTCAGAAGAGCTGGTGGGCCACTTCAGGGCGTAGCGACCACTCGTGCTGAGAGGAGCAGTCCCTGCTCAAGCAATCCGCCCTCATGTTCTGAGTGCCCGGCAGGTGAAAGGCTTTTAGGTGGATGTCGTGGGCTATACAGAAGTCCTACAGACTGAGGGCTTTGTGGCAGAGGGCAGAGGATCAGGCCCCGCCTTGCCTGTTGATATAGAATATCGAGGCTATGTTGTCCGTGAGAATCCTGACTACCCTACCCTTCAGGTGTGAGCAGCAGGCCACACACGCCAGCCGCACTGCCCCGAGTTCCTTGACGTTTATGTGAAGGGTCAGGTCTTGCGGAGACCGCAGGCCTTAGGTATGAAAATTCCCCCCAGCCCAGGACCGATGCATCGGACACCAGCTCCAACTACGGGGCCCTTTCCCTGAATGGGACCCCTTGGAGCATGTTGCTTGGGGCGAACCACCACCGCAGGGAAGTGATCACTGAGTTCGGCATGGTGAGAACCTTGTCCATTCTGTCCGTGGCCTGGGAGAACTGCGAGGCCAGCCAGAGCTGGAGGGGCCTCATGCTGAGTCTGGCGTGGCGGACCATATACGTGCACGCCGACATGTGACCTAGCAGCTGCAGGCAAGCCCTGGCTGTCATCACCGGGAACCTTGCGATCGAGTCGATGAACCCTGTCAGCGTCTCAAACCTGTCCGGAGGGAGAGAGGCCTTGGCCGACATTGTGTCCAGGAGTGCCCTGATAAACTCTATGCGTTGGACCAGGATTAACGTGGACTTGGTGTTGTTTATCAACAGGCCCAGGGCGGTGCATGTGGACAGGAGGAGTGCCACATGATCCCTCACCTGTGATCGGGAGGTGCCCTTGACCAGCCAGTCGTCCAGCCCCCGAGCGTCTCGTCAAAAATGCCTTTTACCCCCCTGCTTGCCCTTAGAGGACCCAGGCTGGGGGGCAGGCTGATACTGCCTTTGCAGGCGTTTTTTATAGTCCTGCTGCTTCTTCTGGGCGGCCTCGTATTTCAGGAAGGTGGCCTGGGTGGGAGTCTGCTGTGGCTTGAACATGGGTTTTGCCAGAGTAGGGACATAGAGGCCCACGGTCTGGAGGGTCGTGCGGGAGTCTTTCATGCCATGCAGCCTTGTGTCTGTCTCCTCCGCAAACAGTGCCTTCCCGTCGAAAGGGAGATCCTGCAGTGACGACTAGGATGCCCGTCTCATGGACACCGCCGAGGCCATGGACTGTGCGGCCGTGTCCGCTGTATCCAAATTAGCCTGCAGGGATGGATGCCCTTGCGGCCACTGCCCCTTCCTCCACTAGCGTCTTAAACTCTTTTGTATCATGTTCCCGGAGGAAGTCCTCGAACTTGGGGAGGGATCCCCAGAGATTAAACTCATAGCAACCCAGAAGTGCCTGATAGTTTGCTACTCTTAGCTGGAAGCTTGATGACTAATAAACTTTTCTCCCAAAAGCATCCAGCCACCGAGAGTCTTTGGTCTTAGGGGTCGGGGCTGGCTGCTCCTGCTGTTCCCTGTGGTTGACCAACTCGACCACCAAGGAGTATACAAGGTGGGTATACAAATACTCGTGCCCCTTAGTGGGTACAAAGTACTTGCGCTCCGCCTTCTTCGAGATGGGAGCCAACGAGGCTGGTGTTTGCCACAGGGCATTTGAGATCCGTGCCACCCCTTCTTGGAGTGGCAAGGCCACCCTGCCCAGTGCCGAGGGGGACAGCACATTGAACAAGGAGTCTGAGGGCTCCTCCATCTCCTCTGCCTGGAGGTGCAGGCTCGCTGCCACCCTTTTAAAGAGTTCTTGGTGGGCCCAGTAGTCCTCCTGCGGAACGGAAGGGGGCGGGACCACAATCAGCTCCTCTGGACAGGGTGAAGAGGCTGGTGCGGTACTTTGGGTGTTGGCCGGCACCAGAGAATCCATCACCTGGTCAGACTCCGGGCTTATTGATGGGGGTCGGCCTGACTTCAAGGCTGCCCCGGTCTGTTGACATCCTAGGGTCCCTTCTTGCTTGCATCCCAACCTCGGCATCTAGCAATAGGGAGATGCGGACTCCTTCCCCTATCACATTTTGGTCATACATGGTCCTTTAGATTTCAGGGGCAGCTTCACATGAAACTGACAAGCTAAGTGTAGTCACTATGTGGCTGTGATGCAGCGAGTTCACAGTTCTCAGCCTCAGCCGTCTGACTCTCAGGAGCAAACCCAGCAGTTTCCCAGCTCTGCTGTTCCTGCCTTCTTCCCCTCCCAGCAATATCTCACATCACTGCAGGGATCAGGCAGTAACTTTTTCTCCATTTCAGTCTCTGCCTCTTGCACTCTGAATCTAGCTCGCAGCATCCGTGTTTGTGCTGAGAGATACTGACACTGTCATTGTTCAAACCACACAAAAATATCTCAAGACAAAGCGTTAGATAAAAATTAAAATCTAAAAAAGGACGATTCGAACAAACGATCATTTGTTTCCTGAAGTCCTCAATAAACCTGAGCTACATCCTGTCAAACTAAACTAATATCAAAGTACGTGACCTCACGGTCTTCACGAAGAGAGAAAAACCCACAGTCCAGGGTGGACCATAAAACACTTTCACATTCATAAAGTGAAATCTCAAAGAATCTTTTAAGACTCAAAATCAGGAAAATAAACGGACCCATTTTCTTCTGAAGTGGCTAAACCAGCTTCACTTCTAGCCTCATTATTCGGTTGTATTAGTTGCAGCCTTATAATAAAAGAAAGAGAAAGAAAGAAAAATCTCCCCATCTACAAATGATCTGGACTAGCCTAGAAAAAGTCAGGAAGCAATTTTACCAATAGATGGAAACAGGGCTATAAGATCTGAAAGGTCAAACTGTGCTTTGAGGTTCATTGGGATTTCCCTGCCCACTCCTAGGTCTGGGACACTGTCTTCCCAAGCCCTCAGGACTCTGACTGAGGATCA